TTATCTATACGGATCTTGTACCACCCGGTACCTCATTTCTGCAGCTGTTACTTTGCTTTTGTGCTTATCCTGCATTGGCAAAGTTTCCGTATTGGTGATTTCCTGTCCTGTACAATAACAAGACAAGTCCATTGGTTTCTTGTTCATATTCTTCGCATTCTTTTATTGAACACATAAGTATTGCCATGAAAAATCATGTTTGGTTTATAATCAATTTTTTGTTTTCTCTGAACAGTAATTTCAGACTTCATGTGGACTTTGAACAATGTAATTCCTGTTTTTTGCTGAAGTCTAGTTTATAACTATTGCAATTTCAGACTTTTTCTTGCAAATTAACCTTCTGACCAGAGTATTCCCGACTATTCCCTTAAGTTTGGTTTTTCACCAGTATAATTCTTAAATTTTTGCTGAAGTATGGATTATGATTATTCCAGTCTTTTTTAAGTTTATTTATATTTCTTTGATTATATATATTTTTTTAATTAAAATGCATTTTTTAATTTTTTTAAATTAAAATGAATTTTTAATTTTTCCCCCGCATTTTGGGCGCCCCCCGCATTCCGCTTCATTTGCTAGCGCCGGCACTGTTCTAAGTCTCCATATTTCTGGTGAAGGCATTCGCCCTTCGCATCTAGGGTTAATGACCTAACAGAATTCCCAAAACCTGCAACACTTAAACAATTACAGCGATTCTTAGGGATGATAAATTTTTATCACAAATGACGAATGAATTGCGACGGGAGATTGTTGGATTTAATTTTAACTAACACTGAGCATCAGTTCGAGCTCGTTCATGATGACCTGCCTCTTGTATCTCTCGTATAATCATCTCTTTATTGGTTTTATAGTTTATACCAGGGGTGAGCAACCTTTTTAATCAACGGGCCAATTTAAATTTTAAAATTTTTTGGAGGGCCGCACATCAAGTAACACTTATTAATAATGTACAAAACTTTATTTATAATAAACATTAGGATAAAAAAAATATAAAATAAAAAAAAAAGTAAAGAAATTTTTAATGAAAAATTTGGCACTGTTTTTTCGATACAAGCTGATCAATATCAGCCGGAATTGATGAGGTAACTACACGTACGCAGCTTTCTAATCGTGCATCAGTCAGTCTTGATCGATGGTTAATTTTGATTAATTTCATGGTTGAAAATAATTGTTCGCAAACATACGTACTTCCGAACAGAGATATCATTTGGTTTGCATTTTTCGTCAAAAGCGGAAATTTCTCAGGGCTCACATAAGATTTATAAAAATTTTCGATCTTTACTGAGAAAAAACAATTTTATTTCGCTTTTTAAGCTGTATACTCTTTTTAACATTTTCGGTATTAAAATCCACATCGACATCGTCAAGTCCGTCGATCATCCCGCTGTAGAGAGCCTTAAAAAAGCTAACTACATATAAGGTTAGCTACAAGTTCGGGCAAATCACCCTAAGGCAAAAGAGCGGCAAGCCTACACCACAGAAGATAGAACCTGAACTGACCCCAGGAACTTCCGGAACCTCCAATGACCCCAAGAAGGGTACAGATAAGGTAAGCTCCGAAAGAAAGGGTAAGGGCAAGGGCTTCCACAGCCCCAACATACATGTTGCGCTGATCCAAGAGTCATATGTATATGGAGGAATAGTCAGAAGACTAACAACAAAAGTAGGTAAGTTAATCTATCACAGAGGAGAGTGCAGTGCGAGAGCAGCGATACTAGCTAAATCTTCCCTAAACTGCCTACTTTAACCCAGTTTATCCTGACCATCCACCGCCAAAGGAGATGAAAGACCTCATAGACTACTGCAATAAGAGAGGGAAACAACTCCTCCTGGGCTGCGATGGCATTCTGTGAAGGCATAGACAATACTCCTACAGTTGCTCGTGTGCATAAGATCTTGGCAAAAGATCACAACGCTGATCTAGGCCACTTGTGCAAACAAGACGGTAAATACACTAAGGATGCTAAGGAATCGTTGGAGCTCCTACTGAGTACACACTTCCTTTCCTCAAAAATCTGCCCCCACGCAGATGCTGACCCTAATGTAATAGATATAACCCGTCCATCAGGCAGGGTTCGCAGCATAGGTGGAACCATTTTTAAACCCAACAGAATAAGGTGGGCTATTTCTAATTTCAATCACTGCCCCCAGTAATAATATCCCTATATATAGCTAGCTACAGCATTATGGAGGAAAGTAAAAGTGGTCTTCATACCTAAAGCTGGTAGGCGTTGGTAGACACTGATCAGAGAGTGTAGGTCGATCGCTAGGGGCAATGATGTTACCCTATGGTGGATTCCAGGTCACAGCAACATTGAGGGCAATGAGAAGACGGACAAGTTGACCAGAGCGGCAGCGAACACGCCCTTCGTTGGACCCCAACCTGGTTGTGGACTACAAAAAAGCCACCTAAAACAAATAATCATCAGTTGGGAGGTCTCAAAGGTAGCCTTATGCTGGAAAGAACTTCCAGGTCACAGACAGAGGTTTTATGCCTCAGCAAAAGGGATCTAAGGACGCTCTTAGGTTACCTGACCTAAAATATCACCTCTTTCACAATGGACAAGCTGAGGATGAAACTTGTCGACTTTGCAATGAGGAGTCAGAAACAGCTGAACATATACTTTGCAATTGCGTCGCCAGAGGCCATCTAAGACACCAAAATTTCGGTAAAGTTGTTTTGACACCTACCGACATAAAGGAACAAGACCTTGGGGTAATACTAAGGTTCGTTAAGGACCTACATTTAGCCCTAAACTTTTGGAGGGCTAAAGTTACAATAGATCTTATAGGTCGCGGTAACGAGAGGAGCCGCTCCCCTCAGCCCGGCAGCAATAATAATAATAATAATAATCATATGTCTTTAAAAAGTATAGAAATGTCATTCTGGCTTCAAGTATGCACCACGATAATCCACTGGATTAATCAACAGGAGATAAGAACAAGACCGAAATTATTATTTTTTATAATTCCACCAAGGATGGCTTGGACACTGTTGATCAACTCTGTACCACTTATAATGTGGCGTGAAATGCCATAAGGTGGTCTATGATAATTTTTTGTGAAAATGGAAATATTACTACAATAGGCAACGAGATCATACCAGAGACCGTTCAATAAAGAAGTAATGGACAAGCGAAGTGAGATGTTGGTTGATATTTGCTCCCACATAAAGAATCACGTTTCGAGGAACAATATCTATATCTACAATAGATTACATAATAACAAATTGGGTAATCAGACCAAAACAAATATTACAACAAATTGCATACCAGCATTCAAAAGACTGCCAAGACAACCTCCCAAAAGATAGAAAGATAACTCGTGCCACAAGAAATGCAGGCAGAAGAGAATGGGTACAAAAGAGCAATATGGATTCCACAAAGAACAAGATGAAGAATGTATCTGAAATAAATCATCTTCTTTAGTATCATAAAAAAATTCGAAAAGCAACAGTTACTGGAAAACGGTGTCGTTTGTGCAAAAACAATAATGAGAAGAGCTTTGTATGTCACATTTACAAACAATATTTTTGTTCATCGCATGCAAAGTTTCGGAACTCAGGGTATACGTGGGTACCAGAAACTCCTTTATAATACGTTTTCTATTTATACATAGAATATAGACTTCTCTTTTTAATCCTACCTAAATAAAGTTAGTAAAGTGGAGGGACGTAAAACTGTTCGATTAACCAGAGCAGACTGGCTGTTAGTAGCATCATGTCTAAGGAAGACATGAATGCATCTGTTGAGCAACGTATTATTATTAATTTTTTTTCGAGTGAAGACATAAAACCTGCCAAAATGTTATGTCAATTAATCGCATAAAAAACGCTTTCAAGGACCAAGTCTATGACTGGCACAAAAAATTTCTGCACACGTCGGAATATCGTATGGAAGTGCCTAATCAATCATTTCAAATGATTTAGGTTACCGAAAAGTGTCGGCAGATGGGTTCTTCGCCTCTCCACGAAAGATCAGAAAACAAACTGTGTTGCCATGTGTAAAAGTCTTTTAGCACGATATCGAACAGAGGAGGAAGATTTCTTGAGGCATATTGTCAACTGTGATGAGATGTGGGTGCATCATTACACCTCAGAGTCTAAACAGGCAAGTATGGAGTGGCGAAAACCTGGAGAAGCAGCGAAAAGCCAAGGCTCCAAGCCAGCTATGGGAGAAGGCATGTAGCAAACCGCCGCTCCTGAATGGCAGGGTAGATACGATTCCAACGTGTTTTATCTTCAAACGACCGTATGAAATAAAGGTAGGAGAACAATCCAGGCCTGACGAAATTGTCTTCCAATTATGGGTGGTCGGATCTCGCAGGGAAACTGGCTCTGGTGCTTCGGTTTATTCCGTCGAACCAACAATAAAAATTTCTAAACCGCTGGGAATTTGGACCACCGCGCTCCAAGCGGAGCTGGTGGCCATTTCTCTGGCGGCTGAAGAAATTTCCAAGAAAAGTAGTAACAAAAAAATTATAATATATTCTGATTGCAGACAAGCCCTCATCTCGCTCGGGCGGTATCGCTGTTCATCCTCGTTGCATGAGGACTGCCATAACAATCTTTGTGAGGCAGCCGCTAGCAATGAGATTACAATCTGCTGGACAAAGGGTCAAACTGGCAAGGAAAGCTGCAGGCGAACCTCCGGGATCGTCGGAACCATTCACAATAAGGTCTTTAATAGAGCTTCAAAAAGAGGAAACACGTAAGAAGTTTCTAAACCACTGGGACACCAGGATGTCGCCAAGCCAAGGAAGCACTGATGTACCGTGATCCTAAACGAACAGATTTATTTATGAGGCTGTCCAGGAAGAACCTACGTTTGGTCATAATAGAGCTAATCACTGGATACTGGCATCTACAGAAGCACTTACTGCATATGGAAATAAGTGACACCGACATGTGCAGAGGATGCGGTGAGGAGGAGGAATCAGCGGAACACATTTTATGCGACTGCGTAGCCCTCCAAACATTAAAGTTATCCATTTTTGGAGATATCCAGATTAACATGAGTGGAATCAAGGGTCCTTCCAACCATATTACCTCCAAGGTAATATGGCTGGAAGAACCCTAATGCTGACCAAATGGGGGAAGTAAGTACAAGGGATCTGCTGAGGTCAAAGTGCTGCGGGCGGTTCAGCCTGCCTTCCCGTGAATCCAGAATCCAGAAGCCAAGACTCGTCTATCTGCTGCGAAAGTTTTTGGAACAATTTTTTGGATTGCAGATTTATTCGTTGATTTTCTCCATAAACTTTCTGCTCTCCATTCTTCATTTTTCTTTTCCATTTTTCATTCTGCTCCATATTAACACTCGACCACCCACACGCATTAATCTACAAAAAATTGAACAAAATTGCTGTAGCTGTGTGACTACCGTATATTTGGACCACTCAAAGAAGAACTGGAAGGTAATCACTTTGACAACGACGAATGTTTTTTCAAGTTTAAAGCAATAAATAAAATAAAATTTCTTCTGTTATTCTCATATTAAAAATATACATGGTTTCATTGAAGAGGTAAGTAACAGAACCAGTCGCCTAAATACCAAAATAGTTAGCAGTTTGACACAAATTACTCCTGGAAACTGGATTTGCTTTTACTCTGTATTCATTATTTTCGCTCTCTAACATTTTCTCTTGAAATTGCATTGTAACTAATGATTAGGATTCAGTGTTTTAAGAGCAATTTGACACTCGCCATTCATTTCTTAATTAATATAATCGCTCTTTATGGAGAAATTCTTGCATTCCATCTACTAGACTATCTTTACATGAACTATTTTTGTTCATAGTTCATCATACTGTAAAACATCTTTTTTAGGCTTTTGGTTAAAAAACATGACCTTAAAAATAAAACAAAAACTTGATAACAAAATATACGACTTAAATCGCTTGAAATTCCAAAATGTTGTTTTACATACATATGTTATAATGAATATTCCACTCTTTTTGGTAGTTATATTTCTTACACTTATCTTTATATTCAAAATTTATTGGAAAAAATTTGGGGATATTCATAAAATTCCCGGGCCGTCAATATTTGACTTCATAAAACATGTTTATTTTAATAAATCTTCCCAAGGTAAGTTAAAGAAAAATTATAGCTAAAACACTTTATTGGGGGAATTATTTTTAGGGGTAATAAAGTATTTTCAAACATTGAATAAAAAATACGGTCCTGTTGTAAAAATATGGATGCACCCGTTGAAACCCATTATAATAACGACCGATATGGAATATGTTAATAAAATTTACAAAGCTAATGATCACCGTATAACGCCGTGTTTTTCGGAAATAACGTTTCTACGTAAAGGATTTACAGTTACACCACACTGTGAGTAATAACTTTTAAATCAGCTTTAACGACTAAATAAGCTTTTAGCGAGGTTACACGAAGCTGTTATTTTTGTTAAAAAATTAAAATTAGGTTAATAAAGAAAGTTTTGCAGATGATATTTGGAAACATGATAAACATCTCATTATGAAAACTTTTGACAAAGAGTACATATCAAATAAACTGAAAAAATACGAAAAAAAATATGACGAGCTTATTAATAAAATACATCAAAATCAGGGAACACCAATCGATTTGCAAGAAGCTTTTAATGAAATGTTTATAGAAATCATAATGCGTAAACAAAGCAAAATAATTAATTTATTTTTAAGTCGTTTTTGGTTCTTGTAGGTTCTCTTAATGATTCAAACATAGAATTAACCGACAAGGAGATTAAAGATTATTTAAATTACAGGACAATTTATTTCGATTTATTATTAGAAAAAATGAATTCGCTCCACATGGTCGGATTTTTGCATAAATTTACAAAAAACTACAAACTTTTAATGGAATACGGAGAGAAAATAGTACAATTTGGTCAAATCTGGTTAAAAAGACTTCAAAACGTAGATGAAAAACTAAGAGATCAAACAAACGTTGTTTATGCAATGTTAAATGGTGGAATTCCTTTTGAACGAGTTGTCGATAACATGTCGGTTCTTATTCAAGGTGTAAGCAAAAACAACCCATTATTTTAAAATTAAATGTATTATTTTTATATCGTAGGGACATGATACTGGAATTTTTCCATTATCTTTAGCTTTACAAGAAATTGCAAAAAATGTTGAATTGCAAGAAAAGATTTTGAACGAAATTTTAAGTGTTTTAGGACCCGATAAAACATCTATTACTTTAGACGATATCAATAAAATGTATTATATACATGCCGTGATGAAGGAATCATTACGTAGATATCATTCGTTACCATTTCTGGATAGAAAGTTATTATATGATATGACTATAAGTCAGTTGATGTTATTTATAGGCAAAAATGTCGCACAGAGAAATTAATTAATTCTCAATTTCTCCTTATTTTTCTAATATAGTCTTGCTCAGTCTTGCTTTTCGCTATATTTTAAAAGATAATCCATAAACTGTTTGTTATTTTTTTTTTTTAGAAAATGTGAAAATACCAAAAGATACAATTGTAATGTTTAATTTCCCTGGAATAATGACATCAGAAGAAAATTACGAAGATCCGCTAAAATTTAAACCGGAGAGATTCTTGAAAGGAAATGTAACATCGAAGGCGCATAAAGGTTTTATTGGATTTGGTTATGGTGTTAAAATTTGTGCAGGTAAGCATTACCTTAGTACTTGGTGTACAGTTTTTATCAAAAAATTGTATGGTCAAAAAATTTACATTGGTGTCAGTGATCACACAATTTGTTTTGTGATAATTTATCACAACACAAGGAACATAACCCTTTGTCACATTAAGAAATTATTGTACAATAATTCCTCTTCATTTTTCTCTGGTTATCGTTTCTGCAATGGAACTATTAAAATATTAAAGTATGATAAAGACAAACATGGATGACACATGGGACAAAAAGTGTAAAGAAGTAGATACTTGCTTAGGAGGATCGCGAACTACAATGGCATGGAGCATAGTGTCATCCTGAAAAACAACAAGAATGAAAAGTTAAGACGTAAAAGTGGTTATTCCTGTATCGGTAAAGAACATTATGAAAAGGAATTGACAGAACAAAAACATAACACATAACACCAACAACAAGGTGGATAGGATCCAAATTGAGTGAATAAAGAACATGTCTAACTCCGTACTGGAAAAGCTGACTGCTGTCTTTCAAGAGTTTGTGATTGGCGCAGAAATTCTGTAGGCTTGGACAGAAGAATAAATAACACAGCTCCATAAAAAAATGAGAAGAACTACCACAACTACCTATGTCTTCCTATGCTTAGATAATGTCTTCAGTTTAAATCAAATCACAGAAAAGATCATAGCTACAAAAGGAACAACACATCTTCTATTTATTATCTAACCAAGGCGTTTTATACCATCCCTGAACAAAATTGTGGCAAGTTCTATCACAAACATAAAAAAATGACACATTAAATAAAGCAGTAGAAGAACTATACAGCTAAAAGCTTCAGTAAAGTTAAACAACCAAATATCAGAAAGTTTAACATCACAAAATGGCTCCAATGGATGGAAGAAGAAATGTGGAGACATGGGTATTGTAAACAAATGGATCACAGTGGCAAATGTGAAACGAAAGTACGAAGTTGACTACAAAAGGGAAAAGGGGAATCATAATATCAAAGGCAATAAACTTCCTTTTTCTAAAATGGAATTCTAAAGAGAAAAAACAGCAGTTATACACCACCATCTTCAACCCTGTGGATGAAGTTGTAAGGATGCGAAACCTGGCAACTATGTAAACAATTAAAAGAACTGTTAAAAGCAGTAAAAACAGACATCTGGAGAAGAGCCGACGAAGTGCAAAGAAGGTAATTACATTGGTACGGCCACATTCAACGAATGAATAATGAAAGAATCCTTTAAAAAAACGATGCATTGGAGTCCAACTGGAAGAATATCCAAGGGACGTCCAAAACTACATGGGCATCGAGGATTCGAAATGCAATGTCCGAAAGGAACCTGGCACCCAAAGACTGGGAACTAGATAATGATGACTACCTATTTCATAACTTTTCTTCACCCTTGTATCCAACATCTGTTAGATTTTTAAACTAGCACATGATCTATGATTGATTTATTAAGGTGGGTATACATTTAATTTTGTTTGCGTATAAGCGTATCGTATCACCGTTGCGTATCAGTGTGTATGAGGAAGCGTTACATAGTTGCGTATCAAAACATAATACAAAAACACGCAACGAGTCCGATCCCCTATTTGTTGGTTTTTCACAGTCACATCAAATGTTATGATGAAATGATATAATACGTAGTTGAATCTTATTTGGACGGGTTGCGTTAGCTCTTTTTTCTCTCGCCACTCGGCGTTGTGATGTGCAAATGGAGTGGAGTAAAGAAAAAACATAATGTGTGACATGATTGCCTACAGCCGGAGGAATAACCTACAAATAGTTGTTGGATGTGACGCCAATGCGCACCACACAATGTGTGCAAGCACCAACACAAATGAGAGAGGTGAGCTGCTTTTTGACAATCCAACCTTTGTTACCAGAAATAGAGCAAAGGTACTTGACATTACGTTCAGCTCAATTATATTAAGCTCCAAGATAACCTCTCCTGGAGGGTATCTTCAGAACCGTCGTGTTCAGATCACACATACATTCAATTTAAAATTGAGCACTAATTGGGATCTGTTTAAGAGTTGCTTTGTAGATAACCTAACTAGTGTCATCGCTACCGTTAGGAACTGTGATCAGATTGAAATAGCCACGGAGCAGATCTCTGTGGCAATTCGTTCTACCATAGGTGGTATAACCAAAGCACTTGGGCCTCAACGGTCTCTTTGTACATCCTCACGGTTTACTTCGGTCATGTGTAAGTCTATTTGGAGGAGTGAAAGATGTTCGAAAATGGCATCCGATCAGGTTGATACCGCTTCTCGCCTCGCCTTAAGCCGGGCTGGTACTCCAACGCCCAGCAACTTAAAGACGACCCCCAAGCCGCGCTGGTAACTCCAACGCCCAGAAACTTGGGTGCATGGCCGAGTACCGCTCAAAGAGCGCAGACGCGCTTTCAACCCGTTTTTACGTTCACAACCTCCAACTACACATGTATCTGACGACAACCAGAAATGTTAGACTGGTTGCCGGGACCGACGGCTTAACGTCCCCTCCGAAGGACGGGGAGGCGACTCGGCGTGTATTCACTGGGAATCGAACCCAGAACGCCGGCGTGGTAGCCCGAGAGCTTACCACCCATGAGACATGTTAAGGTGTTTATTAACATCGTCACTGTCAAACCTGGGAATATTTTAGGACTTGCTCTTAGCAGCATAAAAGTTCTAATGGACGTCTTTACTGGGTACTGCCGATTAAAAGCACACCTCAACTTGTTGGGTTTAGCCGACGATGTTGAATGCCGACTATGTGCGGAGGAAGCAGAGACGGTTAAGCATATTTTATGCCACTGGCCTGCCGTTAACCGTATCAGAATCTCGATTTTTGGGTGGCAGTTTATCTCCTCAAATGATCTGAATGACCTTTCACCGAGCAAGGTATTAATAATCGTGAAGTGCATTGGACTGCACGGTGAAATTTGATAACGATATCTATCGGGGTACAATAGATCCTTAGAGTCGCGGTGCAAGGTTGGTTGGTCCGCCTACCCGATATATAGTTTAGGTAATGTAATGTACCGGAGGTATGAAATCGAAACATCCGAACCATTTCAATAAATTTCCAAAAACAAGATGCGTGGGAGGAAATTGCAACACAGATGGATAGGACCGTTGATAAATGCAAAAAGAAAATGGACTACCTTTTAGCAGCCCTCACGAGGGAGAAAATGAAAATCTGATAAAAAATGCCAGTAGCCAGATACCGTAGGGTTAGAGCCAGTATTTCTTGAGCAAGAATTGCCTTGCGAAATGTGGTATTCTGTTTAGCAATTTTGAGCTCAATGGATGGCAATAAACTCAAAATCAGTGGGGTGAATCCTAGTACAATTTTTGTACTATCCGCTTACAGATTGAAAATTCAAGTCGGCTAGTAAATTTAATGCACTATACTGCTCCCTGCTTGCGTATAATTTACATTGACACGACGTTGCATCGTTGCGTGTCATAAAATAATACGCAACGGTGATACGATACGCTGATACGCAACAAACGTATAAAGGTACCCACCTTTATATTCTGCATCTTGCAAAAGTCCAGGAATCTTTGGCCATTGCTATTTCTTACGTCATCGAACCCTTTTCTATTACTTTTTTATACATATAGTCGCTCTACCCTATTCTAACATTATAATCCTTCGCTATATACTTCATTTCTTCAATCCCTTCAGTTACCTTTGTTAGTACACACTAAAATATCGGTTATATATCCAATCCTGTCTACTCAAATTAATCGTCGTCCAGTTCCTTCTCTTTTCCTTGTATAATTCCTAGTTCAAAGTTTAGTGTCAGTTCAATACATATATACAACAACCTGACGCAGAATACGAACTGATCTAGAACTAGATCATAGACATAGAACTAGAAACATTCGGATTTAGCCGTCTTGAAAGACGTACGGCTAAACCCGAATATTTCTAGTTCTGGGTCTATTGTTAGTTCAAATGATAGTGTTAAGTTAATTCTAATTTCAGTTGTTGTATATTTTGAACATTTCGAACTTGTTTCTGAAGGAGATGGTCTTGTACATGCTACCTATTTACGTCTGATGCTTTTATTCTCTCGCAATAATCAACACATAGATTGTATTGTGGGGCAAAACTACAACTGTGCTCTATAAACAAACACCCAAATATCTATAAACAAAGAATTATAGTTAACTTATTATCTTAAACAAAAACTTGACTTTTATTTTTCACAACACGAACTAAAAATATAAAGAATATTTGTATAAATAAATTTTGACAATTTTAAATAGTCATTAATTGTCCAAGCAAATAAAATATTTTGACTTTTTTAGGTAAACATCTCGCTACTGCTGCAACGAAATTATTAATCATCAAATTAATCAGGGAATTTCAAATAATACCACTTGAAAATGATCATGAAATGGAAATTACTTGCGATTTACTTTTTAGAAGTTTAAATGGAATTCCAATAATTTTCCACAAAAGAAAATAAATCTTATTATTTTATAAAAAAGTTTCGTTCATTTGATATTTAACATATTTTTAGTTTATAAAATGTATTAAATTGAATTATTTACATACATTCCTTGAACTATAATTAGAAAAAAAACAGTGCAACCTTATCTTATTAAATAAAAAAATAAACAATTATTCAACATCAATAACACTAATATTATTGTCTCCACCAGAAACGTCAATATTATTTAGATTATGCTCTTTACGTCTCTTGTGTTTAACGTGAAATAAATGCTGCTGTAAATCTCCACCGGCCATATTATTATAATTAATACCCCCAAAATTTCCCCCATTTGCAACCATAAAAACCGAATCACCAGCTGATTTCATTCTTCTATCACCATTATTAAACAAACTCCGCGTTGTTTGAGCACTATGTGAACTAGAACCACAAAAACTCATTGGTTGCGTTTTATTATATTTGAATTTTAATGTGCCCTTTAACAATTTCTTTTCATTATGATGCATTTCTAATTGTTCTTTAACCACTTGAGTTGCTGATTTTGGTCTGGCACCAACGTGTTCATCAAATCGATTCGGATTATAATTTGTATTATAAATTCTTGGCGAACGATTAGTAAAACTTTCAGGAGACGACGACGGAGTTGAAACAGTACTTTGATCAAACGGTTTAATAACCTTACCATTTTTATTTGCATAATCCGAATACAATTCAATAATATCATCTTGATTTTTACGCTGCTCGATTTCTTTTTTCACCTTTAACCGTTCGATAATTTCACTTCTCGATTTTGTTACAGCTATTTCTTCTTCCCGAACATCTTTTAAAACTCGTTCATCTAAGTTTTTATACTCACGAATAACGCAATTCATCAACCAATTAAAACCTTTTCTAATCCCTGGGTCTAAATGTTGAAGTTTCGATAATTTCGATGATTTTGAGGAATAAGGCATTGTGGCTGAACATGTTTCGACTAACGTTGGACATTTTTGCTGATTTACTAATTCTTCTAATTGTAACATTTCGATTAAATCTATTTCATCGATTGCGTTTTCATTGTCTTGTTTATTAGCTAAAATCAGTACTGGTTTTCCTGAGATTTTTTCGTGTAAAAGTACGTTCGATAGGATTTCTTTTACTTCACGTAATCGGGTAAAATCACTTGAATCTATTACGAAAATAATTCCGTGAGCCTAAAAGTAAGTTGTAGGATAAGGAAAAATTTAAGAATCATCATGTGGCTTAAAAATCGACGATTTCTTTTTAATCAATGTGAAATGACCCAAAAGACACGTTAAAAATATAAAGAAAGTGTGGAAAAGTGTAGAATATTCCGAAAAATCACATTCAAGTTTCAATGTGACGTCACGTTTTGTGACGCAAGGCTAAACCCAAATGCTTCTAATTCTAGGTCTAGTGTTAGTTCTAGTTCAATTAAAATATACCACAATCTAACGCTACACAACATTTAAAACTGGAATTAACACATTCTTGAGAAACGTGCGGCTAAACCCGAATGGTTCTAGTTCTCGGTCTTGTGTTAGTTCTAGTGTTAGTGCTAGTGTACAAGTAACACTAAACCTAGAACTAGAAAGTATCAGGTTTAGCCGTGCGTCTTCAGATGTTCAAATGTTTCTAGGTCTAGTGTTAGTTCTAGTTTTAGTGCAATACAAAAATGCAACATAGTGATATCTAATGCTAACTAGCGCTACCTACCACTGCCACTAGAATTAATACTAGACCTATACTGCCCTATTAAGAATAAGAGTCGTACTATCTTTTGCAGATTTTGAGTTTTTCGGGTATATCACATCATGTCAAGGTTTTACATGTATTTGTAATGTCAAAATGTCGTAGAGCTTTCATAACTACTCAGAAAAACATGTTATTCAAAAAGGTTTTAAATGTTATTCATTTGTCGTATGTGTAATTATTATTGGTTTGTTAAGCAAATGTATAAACTTAACATACCGCACATACCTACGATGTTTTCACTTAACAATGAAGTAGATACGATAAATCGCTATAACAACAGCCTATGCGCGCAATATGACAGTTAAACGTAACGCCCAGTCAGCTGTTATTGTGTTCTATGCGTTTACTGTGTATTTTTAGAGATTATATCGTATATCGTAGACGTATTCATGTAATTTTTGAAGTTTTATTTTTTTAAATGTATTAATGTCTATCATATAACTTCTAAAAACACAGCAAACGCATAGAACTCAATGACAGTTAACTGGGCGTGGCAAATAGCGTGACGTAGAGTGCGGACAACCAACCCGTAGTGGGCTACAAAACCACAATGGATGTAGCAGTCCTGTTAGATTCTACTGTCCTTGGTCTATAGCAATATAATAATCTTTAACTCTGAAATATTTTGAACCGGGACATACATTTATGTCAGCGGATTCGTTTCACCACCAGGTAGAGAAGTCTCTCTAGCAAATAAAAAAAGTATATGATTTCGAAAATTACAAAGATGACGTACAAAAATTATTGATTTTTTGATTGGGAAGACAAGAGTTCTCAGTATAAATTAAGCAGAATAAAACCTCAGCCCTATTTAAGCAAAATAGTGCAAGTTAATTTTGAAAAAGGGAAGCAGTCACTATCCTACAAATGCAACTTTAATAATAATAAGTTCCCAAGTTTATTGTCATTATATTTGGCAAATTTCACTTCTGCTAACTCGAACTTAAAATTCGAAATTATTTGATCTGTCATTCATTCTCTGACGTTTGTCAGCAGTTTCTAGTTCGGTATGTATACCTTCTGTTTGTCTAGTCATGAATTGTGTTATCAAGGTTTGTTGTTTATTTTTTGTATTATTCTTATATGAATTCTTGTCTTTTATGTTTTTATGTATCTGTTGTTCTGTATTTGTGGATGAGGATACTTCTGTGATTACATTAGATATATTTGTCATATTGAGAATTTTATACCATGAACTATTAATATGTCTATCTATTATAAGTAAAATATCTAGAAAAGGTAATTTGTTATCTATTGGTGTTTCCACTGTAAAATTTAATCTACTGTTATAATTATTGAATATTTCTAATAATTGTGGATACTGGTTTTTCGGTAATACAGTGAGATCGAAAAGTCGCGCACATCAAAATAAATATATCCACAAATAGTAGTTTCATTGAATTATTTCAAGCTACTTCGGTGTGATAGCATCATAATATGTGTTACTGACAGCAACCCTAGACACCATTGATATGGAAACTTGTCACTGGACGTCTGTAAATTTGCAGAGTGTACTGCTTTGTAAATTAGTTGTTTTCCCAAGACCAGTTCAAACGAAAAATCGCACACATCAATATATACATACGCATGTATTTTATAACTTTTTATAATTTAACAATTTTTTTATAACATTATATCCTATTTTAACCTCTTATAATCTATTTTGTTTTACATCATATGCTCAAAATGGCTGCCTTGTGCAGTAATGCACGCACCAATTCGTTTTATCACGTTTGAGGCCACTTTATGCAGCACGCTTACACTGATGTTATTAATCTCCGTTCTTATATTCCTCTTCAGTTCATCCAGTGTGTGCGGCCTGTTTTTGTAAACCTTGCCTTTAAGGTATCCCCAAAGGAAATAATCTGGAGACGTTAAGTCGGGAGAACGTGAGGGCCATAATCCTTTAGAGATTATACGCTCGCCAAAAAACTGGCATAAGAAGTGCATGGTTGCGTTAGATGTGTGGCATGTGGCCCCGTCCTGCTGCCACCAACAGTAACGTTCATCGTTTTCAAGCAACGCAATAAATTGTGTAATGATATCTTGGTATACAATACTGTTCACTTTTGTTTCAAAGAATAAAGGGCCTACTATTCGACGACGAGATATAGCACACCACTCTCCAATCTTCTGGGAGTGCAAAGGGTTTTTTTTTCATAAAAGACGTGACGATTTTCGGTTGCCCAATAATTGCCCAATTCTTGTGTTTTGGCTATTCACGTGCCCACTAAGGTGAAACCTTCATTCTTGACGAAGCACATTCTGGAAGTTCAATTTTGGGCCAGTTTTTCGAGCATTGCTAGCCGTATGTCACCAATAACACGAATAATTTTGGCCTCCAAGGTGTCAATTGTTGCTGGTTTATCAGCATAAACCAAGGAAATAATCGAAAGGTGTCATATCGCACCACCTTGGAGGCCAATTGGCATGTCCATTTCTCGAAATCAACTTATCGTCAAATTTTGATTTCAATAAGTCGATGGTTGCGGTCGCTGTATAGCACGTAGCGCCGTCCTCTTGAAACCACATCTCGCCCGGATCAATATCATCCATATTTTCAAACAAAAAATCATTGATCATGGTGAGGTAACGATCTCCATTGACGGTAACACGAGCTCCGACTTTATTTTTGAAGAAATAAGGTCCAATGATGCCACCAGCGTGCAAACCACACCAAACGGTGCATTTTTCTAGATGTAATGGAGTCTGTAGGGTCTGTTGTGGATTGGTTTCACTCCATATGCGGCCCGTTAAACCAAAAATGAGCCTCATCGCTGAACACAATTTTGCGATAAAACATCGGATCACTTTCCAACTGCTCTAGAGTCCAATCGGCGAAAGAACGACGCATATGATGGTCTCGTGGTTTTAATTCCTGCACCAGCTGGATCTTAAACGGGTGTAGGCCAAGATCTTTGGGCAAAATTTTCCACGTAGTGGACGGAGAAAGCCCCCATCTTCTTCCACGCATTCGTTTATAGCGGCGATATTCTCTTCAGCACGCACATTTCTTCGACGTGTTGATTTTATTGCATCATTTAGAAAGTATGTGGTATGAAATCTATCCACAGTTCGACAGATGGCTTGCTCAGATGGACGATTATGTGCGCCATACAAATCACGAAGTCGTCTATAAGTTATGCGAATTGACTGATGACTGATTTTCAAAGTAAATCTGGATAATTTGGTAGCGTTGTTCAAGCGTCAATCTGTTCGTGATGATTTGCCGGACTATACTGATCATAAATATTAAAAAGTGAGCGCAGTATCACAGTTCGTTTGACAGTTAACCCTTTCGTAAGTTCTATCTGGTTTAAAAAAAAACCCTTATTAATGTGACTGTCGACAGTTTTCAAACCGGTGCAAATGTTTTCGAAGTCTGTGATTAGATGTATTATACCTTTGTGTAACATTTTCTTAAAATTAGTATTTGAAAAGCTAAAATTGTCTCCCAAACATAAAGGATTTAATATATTTGAAGGTATATATTTATCAGTTAAATTTATCACTCTATTAGTTTTATGTAGCTGATTAAAAACCTACATATTACTATTGTATAATTTATATTTTAAACTCTTAATTTGAATATCTCATTCTATATCAAAAAATAAATAGATTTTGCTAACTTCGCCTTCCTGAGTAATAATACTTAGGATGGCAAAAAAATAAACACATTTTTCGCATTTTCTCGAATATTCTAAATATGCAGATCCGACTCTTATGCTTAATAGGGCAGTATAACTAGAAACAGTCAGATTTACTTGCACATCTTTCAAGACGGCTAAACCCAAATGATTCTAGTTCTGGGTCCTGTGTTAATTCTATTGAGTGTTAGTATAAAATTAGAACTAACACTAGGCTTAGAACTAGAAAATATCAGGTCATATTGAAACTTTAAAGTGATTTTTCAGTAAGTTTTATACTTTTCCACACTTTTTTTTTATTTGTAACAGCTTACTTGAGTGATTTCCCATCGATTAAAAAATTGTCGATTTTTAAGCAACATGATAATTCTTGAATTATACCAGGAATAATCAATTTTAAGATTTAAAAGTAAAAATATTACATCTATAAAATATCGATGCCATATTCCTCTAATCGTAACACCTCCACCCAAATCATACATCTTCACATTATAACCATTATAATTTAAATTAACTATTGAAAATCCAACAGTGGGTACAACTTCATCAATTGGTTCATTGGCCAACGATCTTACTGCTACCGTTTTACCAGCGTTGTCCAAACCGAGAAGGAGCACACAGATATTCCTATAAGAAAAGCACCAAATGAATTATTTAAAGTAAGATGAAAGTGGTGTTATAATAAACTTATACTTTTTTGATCTCTTCCTAAAACAACAACACAAATTATTACCCATGACATTTAACGTGACAAACTTTTTATTAAATTATTTGGTTCGAGTTTGAAATATTGTGAAAACGCCATTTGTAAACACGATTTGTTGTGATCGACGGTTTGTTTATATTTGTAAATCAAATAAATTTTTATCTATAACTTTTAGATTACCCTACTTACGTATTTCGATATGATTTCTTTTTAAATTCATCATTTTATTTAAATAAATTGCCTATGAAGTACACAAAGAATGATAAATGAGAGTAGTGGTGTTCGATTGACATCACAACATGAATCAAAACATTACTAAAAATATATATTAATAAATTCATAATTTCTAATAAATTGATCAAATAAGTAATTAATTTAAACTAAAATATATTTTATTTTTAATAGTTAAACTCGTTAATTTTTTTGGTTTTTTAATCGCGAAGTTAGTTACAATCCAATAAATTGACAGGCGACGTAAAACGTGATATTGAGGTTAGAATTCGTTGATAGTTATAAAAAGATTTAATAATTAACATTAAATTTATTAACATTTAAACGTTAAAAATGTCTGAGCCATCATCCAGTAAAGATTCTGCGACAAAAGTACCTATGGTTTACATTTGTGGAGGTTAGTATTTTTTTTTAGGTTATGTTTACAAATTAATTCGAAATATAATCTATTTTTGATTTCAAAATTACTAAAATCGCTTTGTTTTGGATAATAAGAGTGTCATAATGATAATGAAATGAGACCGAGGGATCCTATACGTTGCAGAGAATGTGGTTATCGTATCATGTATAAGAAGAGAACAAAGAGATGTATCCTTTAAATGTTTAAAATTATTAATTTGGAAAAAAGTAATTGATTAGATTCCTTAATGTTTGTGTATAGTAATCGTTTTTGATGCTCGATAAGAAGATTACCTTAGTATTCCTTTATTAATAAATTAAGACTATGTTTTGAACGTTTTTTATTATATTAAAATGATAAAAATAAAAATTTTTGTATTATTTAATTTCCAAAATACTCTCTTAACAAAATGTAACATTACATATAAATAAGACCAAAGTGATGGACCTGAAGATAGCACACAGGCTAGGGCTAAATCTGATGATTAGAGTTTATAACATTGGAACATTTCTAAGATCACTTATTTAATGACTTACCAAAATTATCATGTATAAAACTTTGATAAGACATGTTGTTATTAACTGATGTGAAATTGGATCTGTTTTTTCAAAAAATTGTTATTTCTGGAAACGTATGAACAATATCCTTGCTTATGGAATCAGAAAATTCCACAATATAAGGACCGAGTTGCATAAAATGAAACTGTCACAAGGATAGTTGAAATTATGAAGAAAACAGTTCCTAATTTTGACGAAACCTCGGCAAAAGCAAAAATACGAAGTATATACAATTGAATACCATAAAGTACTTCACCATAAAGCACTTCACATATAAATTTAGAAATTGTGCTTTTTGGCAAACGATACATATATTGCAAAGATGTAGAAGAATCTCCAGAAGCCAAAAATCTTAAAGTTGCTTNTCATCAATATTACATACAGTTATTAGTATATAAATGACTTAAATGCCAACATACTTTCTTGTTATTCAGCTTTTCCCAAACCGTTAAAGAAACCGCAGTATGCATCTCTGTGTAATTTTGCTTCAGCAGTCAAATTACTGAGATTTTCATGAAAAGGCGGAATCAGCTCCGCAAAATTGTCGCGTCTCTATCCACCTTCGCCAATGGTCCAAGTTTTGGCTTGATTCTGTCAAAAGTCGTTTTAGTCGAGTATGTGGAGTTAGCAGAAACAAGAAAATTGTGTAATGTACAAACAGTCTATACATACTACAATATAATTAATAGATTCGACGGTGATGATTGCTATTGGGGAATGAAAAATTCTATAAGTACTTGTAAAATGCCCAAACGCATTTTCTACAACATTGGTTGCATGAAATATACGAAAGTGGAATATTTGTTTTTCATGTTTTAGTTGTTTATCAATGCATATGCTTCATCCCCAATTAAGACGAAATATTAATTCAAGTCATTGTCTTCTTTTGCAGTTAAATTTAATTTATTAGATTTTAAATCCTTAAAAAAAAACAGTCTACACCAAAATTTTTCCTTGTTTGACAACATTGAACTACATTTATTTATAATTAGCACTAACTAGTAATCAATAGTAGGTAACGGACCAAAAAACCGCATTAAGATGCCCTTATATTCGGATATGATCATTTTTCAGTCTGAAGTTCTTGCCATAAATTTCTGTTTTGGTTTGAACCTTCAGAAAAGACAGAAAGGGACGTCAATAAACATCTTCAGACATTGTGGGTAATGAAAAGGTGGACAAGCTGGCCAAAGACCCAACGAGTACATCCTTTATTCCAGGAAAAGAAACCCAAGGATGTTTTATACCTCAGCAAAGGGGACTTAGGGTCGCTCTAAGGTTTTCTGACCAGCCTCACGCCCCTAAATTACCATCGCTTCAACATTGAACATTGCTGAAAATCAAACTTGTCGGCTTTATAACGACATGTCAGAGACTACTGAACATATTCTGATTCTTCTTCTTCTTCATTTTTGGATAGGTTTGCCTGACACCTACTGACATAAAGAACAATATTTCCGTTACTAATACTAATGTTCATCAAGGACCGAGGTCTGCCTTAAATCTTTGCAGGGAGGACGTTACAGTAGATCTTATAGGTCGCGGTGACGAGAGAGGCCTGGCAGCAACAAAAAAAAGTAAAGCTTTATGTACACCACTATAAAACCCTTTGTAATTGTTGTAACAGCTTTAGTTATGTAAATTTTTTTTTTCGGATTTTTCATTCACCATTGAAAATGTGTATGTAGCATAAAAACGTAGGTAAAATAACGTCTACTACAAAACAAAAAATCGATAAATCCAATAGTTAACCCGAAGTTTAATAATAGAGAGATAACAAAATTGTAATGTTTCATATGTATATTGTCTAATTAATTTATAATAAAAATTAATTGCTGCGATAATTTTGTATTCTTCTTCTTAGGGCCGATTTACATCAGACGAGCGAATGCTCATTCTATCACCACTCTATCATATTGTTTTAGTGTAAACAGATGTAGAGCATTCTTTCGTTGTTCTGTCTGCATTCTCAAAGATTCTATGGAATATTCTAGGAGTGTTCGATCGCTAGATGTAAACGGCACTAGAGCGTGCGAACAATTGCTTAGAACCTTCTTACGTGTTCGGACGTGCTCACTCATCGGAGCGGTCTCTTCAAAGCGTTCTTGTGTTCTTGCCGAATGAGCATTCGTTCGGTTGATCTAAACATCTCTATGTGCAAAAATTCTAATTCTTGGTTTTCAGTTTTGCCCGTTAATATTTTGGTGTAAACGCTAAACACGCACTTTCGTTTACACTAAAAGATCAAGAAAGAATGCTCTTGCTCTAGCTCTTTGTTCGTTTGGTTTAAACGCAGTGGCGTTACATCCCAGACTGTGCCTTTAAGCAAAGATTCCACATGCACGGATTACTGGCGCCAGTACGAAGCCAGTTTAGTGGCGCCAGAAGTTGTTTCCACATAAATGTTATAATTGTGTACTGGTACAGTAATAAAAATGGCGTCAAGTGATGTACTTCGCGTTGGCATCAATATGGTAGTCCAAATATGCTCCTTGGAACTGCACACGTTATTACCAAAAAAAGCGAAAGCATAGTTGCTGGGTTAGATCGTGGATTGCACGTAGAAATAACCTAGGTGCGTCTAGTACTTTAATTAGAGAATTATACCATGAAGATCAGCAAGCATTTTTTAATCATTTAAGAATGACTGAAGAGAGTTTCATGTTTTTGTTGAGGCAAGTATTCTCTAGAATATAAAAACATCATACGCATATGAGAGATGCCATTCCAGCTCACGTAAAATTGCAACTTTAAGATTTTTAGCTTCTGGAGATTCTTCGACATCCTTGGAATATATGTATCGTTTGCCAAAAAGCACAATTTCTAAATTTATATGTGAAGTATTTTATGGTGAAGTACTTTATGGTATTCAATTATATACGCATTGCGTAAACTTCGTATTTTTGCTTTTGCCGAGGTTTCGTCAAAATTAGGAACTGTTTTCTTCATAATTTCAACTATCCTTGTGACAGTTTCATTTCATGCTAGTCGGTCCTTATATTGTGGAATTTTCTGATTCCACAATATAAGATAAGCAAGGATATTGTTCATACGTTTTTAGAAATAGTACTGTTTGTTCTGACGTCCATTTTTTGGACGGTTTGTTAGAGGATTTGTTTATTTTAGTTGTACGAACGCGTTAATAGTTACACGTTTTCTTTATAAATACTGTTACTGGCGCCAAAATGTCGAAGTAGCGTCAACTTTATTGGCGCTAGGAACTGGCGCCAGCCGACTAGCACCAGTAATCCGTGCACATGGAAACTTAGCTTTAATCTCCTTCTATTTATACCTCCATGAACTTGAAAGCATCTCTTTTTAAGTTATCTTGCTATCGCGATTGAGGTCTTACCCTTGGTTGGTATGTGGTCAGTTGACCTTTTATTAACCCTTCTTTCTTTCACATGTCTAGCCCATTGAAGTCTTCTTCACAATTTCCAGATCCTTGTATAACTCTCCCAGTTCATGATTATATCAAACCATTGCCTTTGTTGGATTGGACCAAAGATTTTCCTTAATACCCTCTATTCAAATACTACCAACATTGCTTCTAATTTTTTGAAAAAACAGATCAAAAGACGCGACAATTTTGCGGAGCTGATTCCGCCTTTTCATGAAAATCTCAGTAATTTGACTGCTGAAGCAAAATTACACAGAGATGCATACTGCGGTTTCTTTAACGGTTTGGGAAAAGCTGAATAACAAGAAAGTATGTTGGCATTTAAGTCATTTATATACTAATAACTATATGCAATATTGATGATTTTAATCCTCACTTTGTAATATATTATAACAAAGGTTATATTGGATATGTACAAGGCTACGAATTTATCTGCAGATAAATCATTTTTTATGTCAAACAACAAAAACTTGTCGCTTTAAATTACTGCCGTGATTAATCATACAACTTTATTAACCTGAGACTATTGAGTTGGTTATCTTTGTGATTACATAACATGTTGAGAGACAACATGTTCGAAACCAAAACCTGATTAATCCAGCAGCCACTGATCATGTCACTAATCACCCAGTGAGTGATTACTGCAGTATACGCCGATACATGCCATTAGAGTGTAAAAGCACTACAATTAAGCTCCTCCATACGACTCAATATATTAAATTTAAGTTGAGGTAAAATTAATTTTTGTATATTCACATATTCTTTTATATAAGTTTTCTTGCCAAAATGTTCTGATTTTGTTTCTATTTTTTTTTTAAATACATATTTTTTTTATATACATTATTTTTTAGCAAAATCAAAAAAATATCATGGTCTCTACCTTGACAGCAGAATGAACTGAAAACCAAATCAGAAAGCTGATCAGATTAAAAGACAGAGTCATCAGACTCAAAAGTAGACAAATGTACTGGTTTGTTGGTAGATGCTAACTTGATTTTGCGATCAAAGAGACTAGTTTATCATAATAGAGACTAGGTCCATAATTAAGCTTATCTGGAGTTACGGGATGCAGATATAAGGTTATACTAAGTCATACAATCAATTCATCGTAGTTCAAACAAATTTTTTAGACCGATTACCAATGCTTAGTGTTATGTAACCAATCAAAAACTGCATGTTGACCTCGAAATCAAATGGATCTACGAGATAAGCTAAGATTTCGCAGCGAATCGTGCTAAAGGCTGCTGCGGCGTCCCAATGATGAAGTCAGTTTAGCTCTAGGACAATACCCAAAAACTCAAAAGATTGCAAAGAATTAAACCTCACGAACTTTTATAGTGTCAAAACTAAATTTAACTTAACACATTCGCTTCTGAGACGTAAGTTAGTGTTGGAATTACAAACGCACATAG